GAAACGCAAAAAGATTATATTTTACAGTTAGAATATAACATTTTTTTCTATTATTCAAGGGTCCCGTAGTGCAATTACGTCTATGATGATTCTGTGAATAAAACAGCCCGACATTTTCGTTTTCCCATCGTATTAATTTGCCAGTTTGAGAAGATGATATTGGGATACCAAAACAACAACTTTGAAGTAGTTAAACAGTTTTATCTGTGTTCTGTAATTAAAATTTCCACTTTAACACCATCATTTGCGATGTTTGGGCCAAACAGCAGGATATAGACCCCTATAGGGTTCAGGTAAATCTATCATTAATTTTAAACTACTGACCAGAAGTTAGGCAGCCGCCGCTATATGGGCTTTGTCCGGATCTTTTAGCCAAATAAAGGGTTTGAGTGTCACTATATAATCACCCACTGGTGAAAGTGCGAACGTGTTCAGTGGCATTACATTTCGAACCTCGGACCCTTTGATCAGCACTCCCGATATGCTACCCATTATTACAAATCAGGCTTGTCTAATTGGAAACTAAGTAAACTGGAGAAACGTTTCTTCTGAAAGAAGAAACTGTAGAGTACTAACAAGCTGTCTTATCTTGTTTTGGTTTTCTTGCTGAGAGGTTGAATTATATAACTGGAAAATAGAAAATACTATGATATGAATAGCAGAGTTTTTGAGGAATAAAAATGTGAATTAATTCTCACTGTCATATTTTATTTATTAGACTCTACGTTTCTGTTTTTTGTTGAAATTAAGCCATTATACATTAGCACAAAACCAAATGTAGAATTATTGTACGATTTGTGTCTTAATTCGAGGCTACTATATTTTGATTAAGCTAGGTCTGCTTTGTTAGAGCGTCAAATTTTATGATTTCTAATTGTTGAAAAGTCCAAAAGATTATCTTAAAAGAGCAGTAATTCCTAATTACCATTAGGTATTTTTTCAACTGCTATTGTTTGGTAAGCAACAATAACCATAATTAGCGTCTACATTTTATATTTATTACTATAAATTGATTTAATTCTTGTATTACCGAGTCAAACATTAAAATTATCATATTTATTATCACCAGATAATTCTGTTCATTCTAGATATATATTGCCAATTATAAATCGGCCAATGAACAACATTTAGCGAATCTAATGGAATCAAAGGACGAAAACCTTGCCACGAGATTATTTGCCACAGCGTGGCATTATTTTAATTAACTTTCACTGTGACAGGGAAACAAGCAGTGTGTAGTAAGTACTCCTGTGATTTGCTTCATATGTCTGTATTATACATATATATATATATTGTTCCGAGTAGACTTCTTCTACGTAACTTTGTTACAAATCTGATGTTGCATTGGGCAATGCCATTTAATTTAATTATCTTACACCTGTTTGGCTACAATTAAGAAATATGTGACTTTTCAGTTTGCAATCTTTAGGTAACGTATAATCAGTAACATTTGTTTGTTTGTTGTTGTTTTTTTGGTGCGTCTTTTTCAGTCATTATAACAGTGATCGCATTTTTTATTATAAATACGTTATAATAGTGAATTGTTAATCACTTAAGATTGTCTAGACATTCATTCTTTAACTGTAGTTCATAATGGAGAGATAAGTTTAAAAATTCATTAGTTTTGGAAAAGAATTTTGAATATTAATATGGTTTTAATATGTCTGCAAGCGATTAGCTAAATGTTACTGAAGAAAGCCAAGGTAAAAAGAGCTCAGTACCTTATACAGATTTTAAACTGTTAACAAATTAACAGAAATGTCGTCATGAAATATACGAGATTGAGTGTGTTACAGTTCATGTCATCACCTTCGGTCGTACTCTGTTTGATGTTCATGCGTCTTCACAAAGGTCTCTGTCGTAAGGCTGTTATGTCCCAAACGTGATTTCCATAATCCATCTACTGTACGAGGACGATGGTTTCTCAGGACCCTTTTGAACAGTCCGATCGCTTATAAGTCCATAGGGGATTTGTCCAATATGTCTCTTTATGAAATAATATGAATATCCGTTTCATTCTCTAGCTGTTTGAGGTACATGATCTGGGTGTATGAAAATTCTGGATCGCAAAGAGCTGTTGCATACCATTCCCAAAGCGATCCCACTATCTACGAAATCCCAAACAATGTCACAATGTAGTTCTGATACATTGCGTTCCACAGCGACTGTATATCGGATGTGGCTGTCACGTGACTTGCTGATTTGTATATTCAAAAGCGTTTTAATATAACGTAATAAACTCTCTATGTTTCAAGCGATATGTGATGAAAAATCACTATTTATAGCAATTGTGAAATTTTTATGGTACTTCTAAAATATTATGAAAAACTTATGGGATCAAATATTGTCTTTCTTTCAACATCAGTAATATCAAAATGAATACAATTTTATGGTTCATAACTACGCTTGAAATCCCTCCTTTTTTCTGACTTGTTTGATCAAATTGGTAAAAAAGTACAGACCTTGTATTTTACGTGCCGTTGTTCCTTATAATATCTGTTAACTTTTTCCCAGTTGCTGTTAACCAGTTATTTTATTTCTCTATTATAATTTCACTAACTTTCTGTTATTTTCAATTTGTTTAATTTACTATGTTAGGCGCAAAAACTTAGGACTTAGTTGCCTTGCGTCACAAAACTCGCAACCAAATCAAACAGTTCTTCTAAGTCAACCTTTCAGAGATCTCATTACAAATCCCCAAACAAGACAAATACGTTGCGTGGTTTGTAGACTATTTTTATATAGTTTTGCTTTGTTAAATGATGAAAGACATTAGTGAAAGTCAAGACTCTTTGGTGATTTATTCCCATGACCGGTTTATAGTAATTTCATATCTTCTGCAATCGTATAGTCAATAGCATTTAGGAATATTCAGTTAAGTGAACACATTAATCACAAGCAGTACGTTTTAGAATAAACCAACTTTTTTATTTCATTATTTATACTTAAAATGCTATTGTATTTAACTTAAAAGTCGTGTTTTTTAAAACTACATGTTGGTTAAATAAAAATGGACAAAATATATGATTTTCTAATCACACTATTTGTACAATTGCTTATATTACTCGGTTATAAAATTTCAAACTAATCTGTACCAATAGCTTTTATAAATTTTTGTCTGCACCCTAACACTCCAAATATAAATTTATTAGATTCAGCTGTAAGTTGCATGCTTACACTTCATAATAATCTCATCAGAATGCAAGTTCATGTAGTGCATGGGTCAGTAACATATTTTGTCTTTAATTTTTCTTTATATTTTGTCAGTCAAAATTTTGATAATCGAATTAATTATATGATTCCAAATAATTACCCAAATATGTGTATACACTTCCAAGTTCAGTGATACTTTGATACACACACACAGCTGATATACTCTTAATACTTTGTCATTAAAAAAAGTTAATTTAATCCAATTCTTCTTTTAGAATGAGTAACAAACGACTAAAGGATGATTATAACATTTCTACTATGAAATTTCTAAATACCCCCCCCCCACCACACACACACTCTATCTCAAGCTTACAATGCAAAAAATCGGGTTTTGATGCCGATTGTTGGCATATCACAGATAGCCTATTGTGTAGCTTTGTGATTATGAACAAAAAAACGAAACTGTGAAAGAATGTTTCAAAAGAGGGATATACTTATAATCATATATCAAGTTAGATTAACCCAATTTTTTTCAAATTCGTTTAAAGGAATGATGAAAGTATAATTGATTTTTAATAATCTTTCATTCAATGAACTAATGAAAGTAAATGAGTTTTGTTAAGTTTCTTAAGTAGAATAATCAGTTAAAAATTATATCTTACAAGTTTTAAAACTATGATTGCAATTACAATGTATGTTTGAATTAAATAATAAAGCCGCGGTAGAAGCGTTGATTCCAATATATACAATTAGCAATACTGAAAAATATTATGAACAAATGGAAGCACTATTGTAAAATAATACACATTTCTGTTTTTGGTAAGTGGTATTGAAAGGTATGTATATTATTATCAATAAGACTGACATATCACGGCCTTATTTTTTTATTTGACTTTTAATTATTTCACAGATACCTAAGCTAGAAGAAAAAAGTCCTTATTATCAAAAATACTTACCCGGCTTTATATTCATCCTTACGCTTATCGTAACCAATAATGGTATATATTGTACCAAATTATTTTTATTGAACTAAAACTAACACTAATTAAATTATATAAAAGGAACTACTAAAAATGAGTTATAATGGTAAAAATGATTTTCTTGTCTTGTTAATCAATTTTATGAAATGACTTTAATATTTCTAAATAGTTGTTGTTGTTTTTTTATTAAGCACAAAACTACACAAATGGCTATCTATGCTTTGCCCACCACGGGTATCGAAACCCGATTTCTAGTGTTATAAGACCGCAGAAAAAGAACACTCGTATTTCAATAGTGTCGCCATCTGTTGGTTTCAGGAAATAATTTGATAAATTGGGAGAACTTCATGCTATTGTTGCTATTTTGTAAGCAAAAGAAAACTTCAGTTTCTCACGAAGATAGTAATATATTTGCATTATTCCTAAGTACAAAAAAAAGACGCAATGAAAAATATATATTATTATTGAAGGTGGAAACAAGAATTGTGTAGACCTTAGTTTTAAAGCTTAGGTCTGTCTTCAAATTGAAAATATCCTTTAACAATGAATCTAAAATACTTCTAAGTGAGTCTCTGTTTATGTCCATGATGTCTTAAACGTTTTAGATACTTTCGGAGAACTTGGGCGTCGTGGTTAAATAATTCTATGCTCTTACAATCTGGGTCTACCAACTTTCGACCTTTATTTCTTATGCAACGTAGGGCACATCGACGTCCGTTGTATAATCCTGGTTCCCAGATTGTTACACAAATGGCACAATTGTGAATACAAAGATGAAGTTTATTGCGCATGCTCGATCCAATGCTCTTGTCGTCCCTTTCATTGTTTTCTGAAAATACCGTCATTACACCGCTGATGGCATACAGGACAAAGTATGTAAATCTACGGTCCTAAATAGGAAAAAAAGTTTGAAAACTATAAATCTCCTTTACATTTTCAAAGAAAAACATGATGCTTACAAGACATTATTTAAAATGTGGCTGTTATCTAAGATTTAGAGGTATTGTACCTCTTTTTCCCAGAAACGTAAACGTTTGATACATGGAAAGGTTAGTGCTGTTTGAATATTTTGTCGAACTATTAACAAATGGAACTTTTTGTTCAAAGATTTTCAAATCATTATTCTATATTTTGTTCGAATCAGATCCTGGAATTAGCTCTTTTAGTATTGTTTTTGTGGACAAAACACACAGAGAATGATAAAATACCTAAGAAAGTTCTAGATATATAAATACAACAAAGTGGTATATGATAATGCTTGGAGACGATTTGAATGGGTAATGAAGAAAAACACAAAACCTTGTCGAAACGTTGTACATTTGCTGCTATGTTAAATTTGTATTAAAG